GAGTCTTTGAGGTTTTGGAACCTCTTAATGCAAAAATAAAGAAACTTCTTTCTTCTTGCCTTTTTTCTCTATCAAGATTTTAATTCTTGAAGCGACTCTCAATTGTTCAGTTGCCAAGTTTGAACGTTCAACTCATTGTTCCATTAAAGAAGCCTGAATAATTAAATAATCTAAAGTTTACTTTAAATGGATTAGTCTCCCATCCCCTTTCTACTGCAAATGCTTCTGTTTCATACAATGAGGAGAATTTCATTGGTTATTAAATGAGTAGCGTTAAAAAACAAAAAAAAGAGCAATTGGAACCACATAGTTAAGACTTGAGCATCCTCTGAATCTATTATAATAACTTTCTTGGTTAGACTAACGACTTAAGTGGTTTTGTAGTCTCTCTTTTCAAGTGGGTAAAGAGATCTTAGAATTATCAACAAACTATTAGTCCAAGTAGAATGAATTTGATTTTTCTTAAATAAAGTTTCGAGTTCAAGAACAAGCACTAGGAGAGCTTTCCCCCTTATGAGATCTGACGCGACTTGATTTCATATTAATTGGAATCCAATGTGATTACCAGATACCAGAAGTTAATATATAAAAAAAAAAATCTTAGAATTGAGTGGTAAGCATGATGGTAGGGTAGGGTAGGTAAAGGCTAGGAAAGGATTGTGTAAAAAAGAAATACGTCATTTTTTTTAATACAAAGCCACAGAAACACCATCCTGCCATCCAGGCAGTGATAATGGAATATGCATTACATCTGTACCTTACCAAAAGACATATGAGTCATAGAAAATGCTTGGGGAAGTTCACTACTAAAATTTTGACTTTTAGCAACAAATATCAGCAACATGGAATCCTTTCTTGTTGAAAAATTGTATCACCGACAAGGTTTTAATTGCTAAAAGCTATGCAGTACACTTCTCCCCTCCAAAAGCTGCTCCACTTTCAACAAGGGGTATGTTGTTGAAAGTAAATATCAACAACATACCCCATGTTGCTGATATTTTTCGGTAGCCTTACACTGCACTTTCCTCCCCAAATAAGGACTCCATTTTCAGCAACATGTCTCTTGTTGCTGAAAGTGAATTTCAGCAACAAGAACTATGTTGCTAAAAATTTTAATCATTTAAAATTTAATCATTTGATAGTGTGGCGGGAGTTTTTTTATTTTAAATTTTAGCAACATAATATACGTCAGTGATGAGTAAAAGAATTCAAATTCAAATGAGTTATAGCAACATGGTATAAGTTGCTAATAGAGGGTAAACTTTCAACAACAAAGGCTATGTTGCTGAAAGTTATTTACATACCCCAACCCCTTCTCTATGAATTTTGCAATATTTCTCCTCCTGCATGCCTTCCTTCTCCTCGCGTGGCTTGCTATAAATCCCCTTCTCTATGAATTATGCAATATTTCTCCTACCGCATGCCTTCCTTCTCCTCGCGTGGCCTGCTGCAAATCCTCTGGCCTGCTGCAAATCCCCCGGCCTGCTGCCACATCCTCTGCTGCGCCTCTTAGCTTTTTTTTTTTTTCCCTCTATTAGCACATGTCATCCATATGTATATATATTAATAATTGAAAAAATTCCATCAATTCTCTTTAAGTATATTTAAATCATATTTTTGTAAATATTACATTATTAAGTAGATATTAATTTATTTGGAAGCTAATATATTTATAAATAATTATCTTTAGTAATTAATAATTTTGTTATTTTATTTGTTTTGTATGTAATTCTTAATAAAATAAAATTCAAGTTTGGTAAAATACATAATAAGACATTAATTAATTGATGTTATTTAATTTACATTAATTAAGCTAAAATTTAATAATGTAATTAATTAATATTAGCAAATATGGGTGGAAGTATACAAATAAATATCAGCAACAAGATATACGTTGTTGAAAACTAGGGAATGTACTATTCCTGAACTTTCAGCAACGTGGCTCTTGTTGCTAAAAATGGGAAAGGGAAAACCACCTTCTGAAAAACCACCATTTCTCCTAAACTTTCAGTAACGTGAGCCACGTTGCTAAAAATATTGTTTCAGCAACGTGGCTTTTGTTGCTGAAAATGGTTGAATAAACTCCACCATCGGTCACCGGAATCCAACAAAGAATATTACCAACATAAATCTCGTTGTTGAAAGTGTTCTTTTAGCAACAAGGGGTATGTTGCTGATACATTAGCAACATACACTTTGTTGCTACTGTATTAGTCACCAAAGCTTTTCCAACAAAGCTTTCAGCAACAAAAGCCATGTGGCTAAAAGGCTTTTACCTACATTGCAAGCACTTTCAGCAACGGTGCAAGCACTTTCAGCAACATGCTCTCATGTTACTAAAGGTTGAAATTTTAGTAGTGGTTGAAAAAGGAGACGCATTAAAGACTTTCATGTAATTGGACATAGACCCAAAATTTAGCGAGTCCTTTGGGTTCTAGAACCTCTTAATGCATGACTAATTAAAGAAACTACTTTCCTCTTTCCTTTTTTGGGTGAAATTTCTTTTTTTTTTTTTTTAAGTTATTTTGTGTTCTAATATCTCTGCATCACATTGTTAGTAAATAGTAACTAGCGTATATTGCCAAAATCAATGTTTTTATTGTAAAGCATTGATTAAGTGGGATAAGTAAGCTGATCAGCTTGAAGTCCATGTGTAAGTTACTAAGCAACAGGCCGAACCTTGTACAATTAAGAGGAAGCAAAAATTGCAGAGCAAAAGGAAAGGAAGAAGCAATCAAATTATTGGTAAGATAAGAAAATCATAATATACACACACAAGAAACCGTGCACAGGCAAAAAAATAACTTACAGATCCAACACAAATTTTGTATGAGTGTCACAGGGCAACATTTGGCTTGAGGTTTCCATATAGCAGATTAAGCATTAAACATTTTCGGCAATATTTACATGTGTTTACCGTATAATTGATATCATCACTTGTTACCATTTGAGTCCACCTCATTAAACTAGTGTAAGCGTTATATTGATTACATATATATATATATATAAACCACGTAGGAAGGGTAGTGAATTGACACTATTTTTGTCACTTACCACTGTTCTAGAGTCAATTATTCAATTTGAAGGCATGTAGGAGTCTTAGAAATTAAATACTCATTGCAAACAAAATGCCCTATACCAATGGATAGGAATCCGTCTATATAAAACCATGTATACCAACGAAAAACTAAAGTAGTTAGTATACACTGGTCTATACTAATGAAAAAATATATTCGTTAGTATAGGATAGGTTTATACAAACGATTGATTGATTATCCGTTTGTATAGAGATACTCTATACAAACGGATTACTATGTTCTGTTTGTATAATCCACTGTATCTTAAACGCTTTTTAATTTTAGCCGGTCATACTGCAACAAGCATTTCACTTCTCTTCATATATTCCCAATTTTCCCTCCCAAATCTACACAATTTGTATTTGATTTTGATAAAACTCAAAGACCCATTCAGCCGGCAGTAGAAATTTTCACTTCTCTCCACAAATTCCCAATTTTTCCTCTCTTAATCCCGAGCTTCCCTCCCCAGGTAGACCTAGGTGTTTCGCCCTTTTCCCAAATCTACAAAATCTGTAATTGATTTTGATAAAACTCAAAAACCTAAGTGCTTTGGTTCCCATCTAAGCAGTTTGCCCCCTCGCCCTTGTCTACATCCACAACATCACCTCGAATCATCACCTTGTCTCCAGCAACTGCCACATCCCCAAGGCCACCCTTCCCCACAACACACTTTCAAGATGCCTCCCGCTTTGGAACACCGCCAACCACAACCTTGTCAAACCCATCAGGAAGCCTAGGCATCACGCTGATCAAAGCATCTCCCTTGGTGTTGTCGAGACTAGGATCTTCTAGGCAACCACGTTCATCATCATCATCATCGGCGTGGAAGAGCTTGGCTTCACGGCAAAGGCAACTTTGAGGAACACTTCATGTATTGATTCAGCCAGAAAGGCGCAGTCCTGGAGCCCTGCATCTTTGAGGCAAGGAGGAAAGATCTTGTCTAGTAATCCCACTGATTCTTTTTCCTAAGTTCTTACCTAAGATCTTCTTCTTCTAACTCAAGCTATTGTTCTTCTTTGTTGTCCAAAGCTTGAAATCTCTTCCTCATCCCCAAAATCCGCAGAATCGGGCACAAGGTAAGTTCAATTCATGATTTTCGTTTTTGAAGTACATTACAAAGTAAATTTCTATTATTTTGTTATTTTCTTGGACAAGTTTACAGTTTTTGGTTGGTGATTAACTTTAGATTCCTGGTTTAGGGCTATTAAATTTCAGTTTTGTTGAGGATTTTATTCGAAATCTGTCCTTCTTCCCAAAATTCATAGAATCTAGCACAGAGGTAAGTTCAAACTCTCCCCTTCTTCCCCACAATTCACAAACTCTCTATAAATTTCAGTTGTATATTACAGAGCTTATAAATTTGTTGGTTGTGGACTTCTTTTATGTTGCATTTACTAGTAGCTTCAATTTATGTCGTGTTTTCCCTTTTGTGGTGTACTTGTTATTGATTCTCATGGTAGTGCTATTCTTTTTTGTTTTTCTTGTTTGAAATTCAAAGTTTGGGTGTATGTAAAGGTGTTTCTTCTTTGGGAAAATATATTATGTAAAGAACATATTAAGCTGGCATGCGTGAACTTAGATTAGTTAATTAATAGATTACTATGAATTTCTTCTTGGAGATCCTTTTGAGAGCCAAAAAAAGAAAAAAAAAAAAAAGAGCATTCTTTTTCTCTTGTTGTACTTTGTGCTTGGTGTGGGTTGTTTTTCAATTATTTGAATATGGTTGAATGATTGTTATAGATTTATGTATGTAATTCTTCTAAGTTCACAAACTTGGCTTGCTTTTTTAGTATATATTCCAACATTAGAATATAAATTTTCATTATTAACATATTTTTTTTCCTTACAGGATGCCAAAGCGTAAACGAATCAATCTTGTGAGGGTCTTGCCAAACAACCAAATTGAGGATGGTTTGCCCTCTTTTCCATCCATGAACAATGAGGTTGAGCCAAACCAACAACCTGTTTCATCTGGAAACAATGAAGGTGAGTCAAACCATCAACATGCTCTCTTAGAAAAAACAAAATGTAAAGGTAAAGTTCTTACTTAAAATGTTGTTTTTCAAATTTTTAGGATGAATTTATGTGAATTTTTAACTTGTGAATGCATTTACTATTAGCACCATCTCCACCACCTAAAAAGCCAAGAGGTCCAACATTGATGTCCTACATATGGGAGTTGGAAAAAGGTGTCAAGGTCAACGTCATATTTGATGCAAATTGTCATCCAATTGGTAAAGAAGGCTGCACCTTGACTCGATTCCTTGGTATTGTTGCAAGAGAATCAGATGTTACACTTATTAGCTATAAGGAATGGAGGGATACGCCTAAAATTTATAAGGATGACGTGGAAGATTATTGAGGGAAAAAAAAATAGCTTATACTCTTAATAGATTAGTAAACCTAGTGTAAATTTTATTGTCTACATTTGCCTGACATTCCATTAGTTAACAATTCAATTTCAATTCAAGTTTGTTTGCAATTCCATTTAATTTTGAAGCCTTGGACCAGTTGTTGCGATTTCATAATTTGGTTAGATTCTAGTCCATTACACTTTATAGATTTTTTCCATTTTACATCTTTCTGTAATCAAAATAAATTGCTATTGATCATAGCTTGGACCCTCACCACCCATCCACCTTTCTTCCCTACATATTCATTGTCAGTTACCATTATAAGGTAAAAGAGAGAACAAAAAGCCAAGTTTTTAGAAGATGATAATCTGCTCTGTAATTCCCGTAAGTTTGACATTTTTCATATATGGAAAACTAATTTCTTTTAATTTTATCAAAATCTGTTATTATTTTTATTGTGATGGTTAACTAGTTGCTTGAGATTACGATTTGTGGTTTTATTTTTTATTCCACTTTGAGTTCTGAACTTTTTGTTTTAATGGGTTAATGGATTTGAACCCAAATGTTAAGGGTATACTATTGAAGTCATGAGTTGGGTTTTTTTTGGAGGGTGGTGTCTTGTGTCAAGAGCTTTACTTGTTGTTTTTTAACATGCTTCTATGTTGGACAGAGTATGGATTTTTCCAATGTTTGGATGATTGGTAAATTGGTAGACTTGGATAGGTTTTTTTATGGCATTGTGAATTTTGGAGTATTAGGTTTTTTTACCTATTATCATTTTCTCACTGACTAGCCCTAGATGGCCAAAATCTCAGGCCAATCCCGTTTCCAGAACAATTATTTTTTTTTTCTGTTTGTTGTAGATTTTTTATTTGTTAAAGCTTTCTCCCTTCTTCTCTCTCCCCCCTACAATGGCAAATCAGATCATGCCATGGCCATGCTAATGCTTTCCTAGAATTTCCCTCGCTTTCTTCCATTGTTATTATCAGTCTTTTAAAATCTCATTTTATTTTTGTGGTTTCTAACTTTAGTCCAAGTTCCTTATTGAGGAAAGCCGCAAAGAGCAAATCAAGAGTTGGATTATGACCGATGTAAATGAAAAATAGAAAAGCTATAAAAATGAGCTAAAAAGTGTAGGATTTGATCCGTTGCTTACAATTGATGAAATGTATGAAAAAATTAATGATCCTCTAGTTGATAAGGAGCAATTTGAGGTGCTTGTTGAATATTGGTGTAGTGAGAAATGAGAGGTATGACAAATTTGTTATGCTAAAGAGAGATTGCCTAATTTTTTGTCATTATAAATAACTTCTACCTTCTGTTCTCTTCCAAAAAATTAGCAAACAAAATAAAGAAAACAGGAAAAAACTTGAAAAGCCCCATTGCCTAGGCACCAAGACTTTTGCACAATTTGTCAATGAGGAGGTGATTGATTTTTTTTGCTCAAGCTACTTTATTAAAAGAAGCAGTGTACATGCTTTACTGATCAAGTGATAATTGAAATTAATTTAGGGCATGATATTACATTACTAATAAATTAAATTGTTATCCTATCTTCCTTTTTTTTTTTAATATAATTACTTAAAGGTATATTAGAATTTTATCATGTACTACTTTTTAATTTTCTAGGAAAGCTTTGCTAATGGGAGAAAGCAATCAAGATTTGAACTCTACATTCAAAGCCGAACAAAAAAGGATGGGGGACTTGTAAGTGAAAAGGCAAGCCAAGTGATGGTTAGCAAACACATAAACTCTGTGTTTTTAATTATGTATACCTTTCTTCTTCATATAAAAAAATAATAATAACAAATAATTTTTTGGTTAAATGTCATAGGAACAACTTAAAAACTACATCAGTGAGTCTACTTCTGCAAGTGCATTGGAGGAAACTACATTTTGGCGAGATGATACATTCGCTAAGGTGAAGGGATCTGACAAGAAAGGGAGGGTTCACTACTTAGGGAAGGTCTCAACTTTGAAAAAATCTATCCCTTCCACATCTACAGATAACAATGTTGGGCAAAGGTTAAGCGAGGTGGAAAGTATGTTGAGGGGATTAATGCAACTAATGAAGGCAAGATTCCCTAATAAGAATATCACAGTTATTCTACAAGCTGCCAACCAATTAGCTTCTGCCAACAAATTGGATAGAGAGGTAAACTTTTTTTTGTTCAACCATTTAGTTTCTTTGTATTCTTGCATATATATGGTTTGGTAGATAACAAACAAATTTTTCATTGGAAGCTTTGTTGTGACAAATGTGGCCATCACCAGAAAAAATCAATGCAAAAAAGTTTTTGAGCTTGTGTTTTGTTCTTCTTTTTTACCTCTTTAGTCTTCTTTTCGTAGTTTCGCATCTCTTCTACTTTGGTTTTTGGTGAGCTTATGTTTTTGTTCTTTTCAATTTTCATAGAAATCAATACTCATTGAATTTTATTTTTCAATAGGCACATGCCGCCCGTCAAGAGGTATTTAATACTCACTTATACCTCTTTAAATGAAGTTATATGATGTTTTGTGTTTCTATGTGGAAATCTTATCTTCTACCTCTAGGCAATGAGATAAACTATGTAGTTTCTCTCTCCCAAATTAGATGTTTCAGTTCTTATTTTCTTATGCTTCTACTCCATGTTCTATTCCATTTGTTTCAAAATGATGATGATATTTACAGTTTAACACCTCATAATTTTTTGCACTTTTTTTGTGTGAAAAACCAACTAACTTTAATTGTACATAAGATTCTTGAAATTTCAACCTTAAAATTATGCAAGGTCAAAATTTGTATTTCTCCTCCCAAAAGCTTCTGTGAAGTTAGCCCCGAATGCATAGCTTTGAAAATAGTGAGTATATATTTGCTGTGAAAATTTGAAGCAGTAATTTTCTAAATTTCATATTCCAACCTTAATCATAGACAATCCACATTAGGAACTAGAACACTAGAACCTCACTTATTCAGTTATTGTATCTTGTACTTTTGTTGACGACTACTTAAGATTTTTTCAAAATAAATTGAAAATCAAGTGTAAAAATATAAAAAAAAGGGGAGTTGCCATTCGTCCAAATTATAAGATGGGACAAGTCACCTAAAACGGGTCTATGCAGAGATCGGGGGTTCAATTAGGAGTGAGGAAGGACATACGCACACCTCACAATCCTCCGTGTAAACACGGTTGCATACTTTAAAATTGTGATTTTAATTCAACTTATTTATTATGTTTATGTTTGAGTCTTAAAAAGTAAACTTGAAAAAAAGAGATAAATCGAATCAAAACATTTTTTTTTATTTTTGGACTGAAATAGACAATCAAGAACATGCATGCACAATAAACACAAATAAAAATTAAATGGACTGATTTGATTAAAATAAAAAAAATAAAGGACTGATTTGAAAAGATTTGAAACTTTTGGACTAAAGTGCTTGAACATGAAAGGATTGTGCAAAATTGAAATAAAAGAGATAACTTTTGATTTTTTTTTTTTACTTTTTAACCTTTTTAGTTTTTTTTTATTGGATTGGGTCGGGTTGATGCAACCCAAAAACACGAACCCACCAACCAAAGTGGGCAAAAACAGATTAAAACCTACACCAAAATGAAATCTGGACAGAAACAGATAGAATCTGGATTTTCTGTTCGGCCATCCAACAAAATAGAACAAAGAAAGCAAGTAAGCATCCATTCCAATTCGGATCCATGAAATTCAACAAACATGCTTGATTTCATTCACAGTATCATCATCTAGTACAGTTTTAATAAAGCAAAACTTTATGAGAATCAGAATCAAACAAGGTGAAATTTCTGGAAAAAAGCAGAATGAGATCCGAAGGGAGGGATCCCACCTCCCTTCTTCTCCCTCACGGCTCTTCCCAAAAATTCCTCTGTTCAGAAATTACCTAAGGCAATGAAACCCAGAGAATGAAACCAGAAAATGAAGCTCCTTCGGAAGCTCGGTGATCCTTCCTCTCAACCACCGTTGTTGCCCCCTTTCTTCTCCAGTAAATCCCCTTCTATTGCTCTCAAAAACTCAGACGAAACTCCTCAACAAAGAGACCCAAAATCAACCAACCATCACCACCTCAAAATCAAACTCCAAACTTCCTCAACCACAGACCCCCCTCCAGACCTACTTTTTGCTCTATATATATACACAAATAACATTAAAAAAAAATTTCTCTGAGGATGCTCATTTGTCCGTTATTTGTTGTCTTTTCTGCATGTGAGGCAATGATGGGGCTGTAGCAAGCAGAGTGCAGAGCCGCGGGATTGGGGGTGAGGCGCGGTGTGCAGGGAGGCAGGGGCGTGGAGTGCTGATGATGGCTCGGGCGTGCAGGGGCATCATTGCCGGCAGTGGGGCATAGAGTGCAGGAGGCGCGGCAGAGTGCAGGAGGCGCGGCAGAGTGCAGGCTGGGGTGCAGCAGGGCAAGCAGTGGCGCAGCAGGGCACAGCAGCAAGGGCACAGGCATAGCAGAGTGCAGGCAATCTGGTGCAGAGCAAGGGGATCTTGTGCAGAGCGCAGGAACTGGTGCAGAGCAAGGCTGGTGCAGGAAGAAAGGCTGGCCACAGGAGCTAGGGGGCACGGTAGAGTGCAGGCTGGGGTGCAGCAGGGCAGTAGAGGGGGGATCTAGGCGCAAAGGCGAAAGGATCTGGAGCAGGGGAAGGCTGGCGCGGTGCAGAAAGGAGAGGAAGCTGATTCGGTGCAGAGGAAGGCTGGTGCGGTAGGGGCATGATGGCTCGGGCCTAGGCGGTTGCAGGCGGCAAGGGGCTGGTTCGGGAGAGAGAAAAGTAAAAAAATGGAAGAAGAAGGGGAAGGTTCGAAAGGCAAAAGGTGCAGATCAGCCCCAAAGCTCAACAACTGGTGGCAAATCACTTCCTCAACCCACTTCACGCGCAAATCAGCCCCCCAACTCCCCTGTAGTGGCAAATCAGCCCTTCTCTTAACATTTTCGTTAACATTCCGTTCATCAGCCCTTCCTCTGTGTCTGACGTGGCCATTTTTGGCTGAGATGGATGCTGAGGTGGAGGAACACTTGGACAAATCACTTAAAATTAGTAGATTAGACAAAAATTACCTTTATTTGCGTCTGGTTTCACTTGGGAGGCTGATTTGCCACTATTCAATCATAAAAACTGAAATTACAATTTTACAGCTTAACCCTTCTCTCCCTCAATGCTCAAGCAGTGACAACACTTCGACTCTTTCTCTTCACCTTTCTCTCCTCCCTCCTCCTCCCCTTTTCTCCTCCTCTTCTTCCTTTATTTTCTGGTTTAGAGAAGGGTTCTGTGAGAAACCACCAAAGAATCCATCAAATTGTCTCTGGTTTCCTCTGGGTCTGGGTTCTCCGGTGATTCTCCGCTTGGGGCCGGACGAGAGATAATGGAGGAGAAAGAAGAAGCTGAAGACAAAGAATTTCATTTCTGTAATTTCTTGAATCTTTGAGTGAAAAACTTGATTTTGGAAGATGGGTATGCAGGAAAGTGGGGTAAGAAAAGCTTGGAAATGGAGGATGGGGGGTTCGGTTTTGTGCAAATTTGTTTTGTAATTTGGTGTCTAGGTATATACGAGAAATGGAAAAACAGAGTGAAGGTAGTACCCAACCCCAACAGGAGGGTAATTTCAATTTCAATTCCTCATTGTATGAAGATATTTTGATTTAAGACTATTAAAATTTTTGCATATGTTGTTTGATTTCAAAATGGATTTCTCCTGGATTTTCATAGTGATGACGTCGGAGAAACAGAGAAGGATACCGGAAGCAAGGCAACAGAGATGATGCCGGAAAAGATTCCTATGATCGTAATCAAATTTAATTAAAAGTTAATTAATGTTACGAAGATGATATGATTAGGCAGTGTAATTTCCAATTATGAGGAGATGTTATAAGATTAATATGATTAAGGGCATGATTGGAGTTATTAAATAGTATAGGGTTGTAATTGTGTTAAATTGTATTATATCATGCTTTTAATAAAAAATTATTTTAGTATTTAGGTATTTATTATTTTAAAATATTATAAATGATATATAATAAAATATAATAAAATTGTTTAATCTGTTGATTTTGAAGTGATTTATTCAAGTGTGCCTCCACCTCAGCATCCATCTCAGCCAAAAATGGCCACGTCAGACACAGAGGAAGGGCTGATGAACGGAATGTTAAATGTTAACGGAAATGTTAAGAGAAGGGCTAATTTGCCACTGCAAGGGAGTTGAGGGGCTGATTTGCGCGTGAAGTGGGTTGAGGGGGTGATTTGCCACCAGTTGTTGAGTTTAGGGGCTGATATGCACCATTTGCCGGTTCGAAATGCCTTCCCCCCTCCCCTCCCTTTTTTTTTTTTTTTTTTTTTTTGTTTTTATGGTTCTTTGGGTTTGGTATTTGGGTTTTGGGTTTGGGTAATTGTGGGTTTGGTTTTGGTGGGTTTTGGTTTTTGGGTAATTGGGTTTGAGTTTGGGTTTTGGGTTTGGGTTTTGGGTTTAACTTTGCATTTCACCCCTCTAACTTTCAATTTCTTCAATTGAGTCCTTTCTCTCATCTTCCTTCCCAATCTTCTTCGTAAAATTTCCTTTTTGCTCCAGAACCTAACAAGGAAAACAAAAACAAAAACATATTACTTAAAAATAAAAATGAAAATAAAATTCTATTAAAATTTGAGTTATGACAACTTTTAATTTCTTTTGGTTGAATTTTGAAATTTTAATTAGCCCTGAATTTCTTTCTACTAAATTGTAGGTCCCAGATGCTAATAGTAGACAAGGCTTTTCTTCGAATAATCGTTCCTCTTCACATTTAAGCCATCACCTTTTGTCTCGTCAAAATGAAAGTAATGAATTCTGAAATTTTAGTTAGCCCTGAATTTCTTTCTACTAAATTATAGGTCCCATATGCTAATAGTAGACAGGGATTTTCTCCGAATAATCGTTCATCTTCACATTCAAGCCATCACCTTTTGTCTCGTCAAAATGAAAGTAATGAAGAAAATGATAAGCAAAGGAATTGAAAAGCATGTTTGTATCTCCTTACTAGAGTGTATATCGACAAAAAACTTCCGTCAATATAAATACATATGCTTGTAGTGACTTGCGGTAGATGAGAACGAAATATGCATTATAAATGTCATGACATAGAGACATTGACTCAAAATTTAACGAGTCTTTGGAGTTTTGGAGCCTCTTTATGCAAGAATAAAGATATTTCTTTCTTCAAGAATAAAGATATTTCTTTCTTCTCACCATTTTTTCTCTATCAAGATTTTAATCCTTGAAGTGACTCTCGATTGTTCAGTTGCCAAGTTTGACTATTCAACTCGCTGTTCCATTAAAGAAGACTGAATAATTAAATAATTTAAAGTTTACTTTAAATGGATTAGTCTCCCATTCCATTTCTACTGCAAATGCTCCTGCTTCATACAATGAGGAGAATTTCATTGGTTATTAAATGGGTAGCCTTAAAAAACACAAAAAGGAGCAATTGGAACCACTTAGTTAAGACTTGAGCATCATGTGAATCTATTGTGATAACTTTCTTGGTTAGATTAACAACTTAAGTGGTTTTGTAGTCTCTCTTCTCAAGTGGGTAAAGACATCGTAGAATTGAGTAGTAAGCATGATGGTAGAGAGTAGGGTAAGTAAAGGCTAAGAGAGGATTGCTTAAAAATTAAATGCCTCATTTTTCTTAAGCCAAAGCCACAGTAACACCATAATGCCATCCAGGCAGTGATAATGGAATATGCATTACATCTGCATCTTACCAAAAGACATAGGAGTCATAGAAAATACTTGGGGGAGTTGAAAAAGGAGTACGCATTAAAAGACTTTCTTGCAGTTAAACATAGACCCAAAGTTTGGCAAGTCTTTTGGGTTCTAAAACCTCTTGATGCATGACTAATTAGAAAAATTGCTTTCCTCTTTCCATTTTTTGGGTGAAATTTCTTTTTTTATTTTTTAAAGAGTTTCATGTCATAGACACAAAATTTGGCAGGTTTGCTGGATTCTGGAAGTTGAAACATCTTTGATGCACAACTAATTAAAAAAATTGAGTGCACTAGGGTGAGTAGAGGTACAAATAAGGATGTTAACTTTGTATTTAAAAAAAAAAAAGAAATCTAAGAATGTTAACTTTATTAATTGCTAAATAAAGATATTAATTTTTAATTTTTTTATTTAAAGATATCAACTTTTAATTTTTTTTATTTAAAGATCTTAATTTTCAACTTTTTCTATTTAAAATTTCAACTTTCAACTTTTTCTATTTAAAGATACTAACTTTTAACATTCTAGTTAAAAAATATGTTTACTATGTCAGTATTACCATCCAATTAATATTTAAATAAAAAAAGCTAAAA